GGGTTTCCGAGGAGCAGCTGGTGAGCTCGAACCTCTGACCTTGAAGTTCAAACGGCTTTGCAGTCTGGCGCACTAACCCACAGCGCCACCCCCAGGACTCCCTTGTTGCTCTACAAAGGCTCCATTAAACTCGAGACCCTTTGTAAGCAGCAATGCCAGCCATTTATCCATCTTTAAAGAACTGAGGGTCCTGGGAATTTAACTATGTCAATGAAGCCCTTTTTACATTATTAACTGAGGAAAAATGGGTGCCATTTAAAGATTTTTAAAAAAGCTTAGGAAACAAAGAGAGGCCGGAAGAAGCCAAACCACAACTGTAAGTAGGGTGTTTAGTGATGTCCCACTGCGACTCTGACAACACTGCTCTCGTTTGATGCATGGTGGTGGAGAAGAAGCACTCTGGAGAAGCTGTCCTAACCAGTTTTCTGCTGAAGTTTTGGATAACTTTCTCAAAACACTCTAATAGTAAGCAGATGTTATTATTCTTAGGCTTTCCAGAAAGTCAACCCATAACATGCCAAACAGCTGTTCCCATGACATTCGTCCTTGATTGGTCTGCTTTTGCGCTGACTGGCTCATTTATACTTCTCAGTAGGCATTTATACTTCTCAGTAGGCATTTATACTTCTCAGTAGGCATTTATACTTCTCAGTAGGCATTGCTTTGATTTTGCTTTGTCTTCAGGATGGTACTGGCAAAGCCATGTTTCATCTCCTGTTACAGTTCTTCCAAGAAATGGTTCAGGATATTGATCCCATTTGTTTAAAATTTCCATTGAAAGCTCTGCTCTTGGCTGCAGCTGATCTGGGCACAACACTTCTACCACCCACTCAGCAGAGAATTTGCCCAACTTGAATTTTTCCGTCAGAATTGTGTAAGCTGAACCATTTGAGATGTCTGTGGGGTCGGGTATTGTTTTTCCTGTCAGTAATCAGTGCTCTTCAATTACAGATCCATGTAGGATCTGTGTTGCTGGCGTCATCTTCAATGTTGTTTAATCCCTTCTACAAATGAGTCTTCCACTTGTAAACTGCTGATTTCTTTAGGGCCTTGTCTCCATAAACTTTTTGTAAAGCATCAATGGTTTCATCTTTCTTCTACCAAAAATTCATCATAATTTTGATGCTTGTTCTTACTTCTATATTAGCAGAATTCATGTTGCTCGGATAGGTGCGATTTTCAAACTTTTGTCTGATCCTTCTTAGTACTTCAAACGAGATCCTGTTCAGATATGTTATAATAAGTTAGAATGCGTTTATTTTGGTGTAAAAAAATCAGCTATTCATGCATAATTTTTGCATAATACGTGTTTCCCATGAACGTTTTGAAGACT